AAAAAATAAAAAAAACTGTGGGCAAGACTGACAATGTGAAGCAAGAAAAAGTTGGGAAAACACACATTTCACCCATACAAGTGAAGTAAATTAGAACAATCAAAGCTGAATAGGGAAATAGAACTGTAGAAACTGACACACAGTACTACGAACATACATGATACAGCAACACACCATGGAGTACATGACAATTATTTAAGGAGAAACTATTCATGCAAGAGGGACCATCTCTTGAATTCTAATCAAATTGATTTAGTCATGCAAGTTTGATTCGTTTTCCCCCTGAAACACTTAGTGAAACATAACTTAACATATAAACAATATAATATAAGGGTTCAAGTACAGCAAAAGAATTGTTTGCAATACTTTTTTTTCAGGACCTCAACAGCAAAGCAAGAGAAAATTTAAGCTAAGAAGGTGTACGAGTCAAAATTGATATAATCTACTCATACAAACATATGGAAAGTCATAAGGAGTTTTTTCAGCTTGGTGTAACTTAACCTTATTTTGAATTAATTAACTTGCGGAGATGACATAGAAGCAAGAAAAGGCTTAATACCGGTCCACGTATCGGAAAAAGAGACATGAGCTAAGCCAGTAATAAGGTGATTGTACATAGCAGAGGATATCAAACAATAAATTAGCAGCTAAAAATACTATGTGGAAAAGCGGGACCGGAGCTGCAAAAGTGACCAAGACTACGGCAAGCGACTAATATCAGTCAACTACCGAGTTGAAAAGACTTTAATTGGATCATATGCATGACAAATGTTACTCACATATAAAATACAATATTTTAAAGATGATTCAATGTTAAAATCTAATGAAAATCCACTTTTTTCGGAGATCTGTATTTATCGACACACAACCACAAGCCATCCATTACTCCATTTCCATTGCAGTTTTGCCTAACTTCTTCTCTCCGGAGGAAGGGAAGTGGAGTTCGTTGCTCTGTCAACCATTAACTTTAACTAAATTATGTATTATGGCGAATATTAGCAAAATTACACTAAAAATAATTTTTTTATTATATTTGATTGAGTTTCTTACTTTATTATTTTACAATGAAGGTAATTTTTTCTTTGGCACACAAGAAATTTGGACTTGGTCAACTTTAGATGTTGGCTGCCCTTCAGGAATTGGTGAAGTAAACAGAAGAAGTAGAAGAGCGTCAATTTTTGAAACAAACACGCATTTCGATCCAAATCAGCGGGAAATGGTATACGTAACCACTCGGAAATCCAGGACAATTTTAGGATCTCAGTTCAGAAAATTGATACCAGAAGATTGACAGTAAAAAATATTCATGATTTGTGAAAAAATGTGTCATAACGTGTAAACTGCATTGCATTCGCTGAGCCGAAAAATGCAAAATATCTGAAATGATGGGTGATGGTGAGTGTTGTATTGGAGGGCCACCTTCACATATCATTAATT